GGACGGGTACGGGCATGACGTGGAACGGCTCCGACGTGCTCGTCCTCGGGCCGCTGCCGGACGCAGGTGCAGGTGCAGGTACAGGCGCGGACGAAAAAGCCCCCCAAACGCAATCTCGCGCGGACGAAAAGGCGCGCGCGCGGTACGGGTCCCCGGTCCCCAGCACGTCGCCCCCGGGGCTCGAGGGCTTCGCCAACAACGTGGATGTGGAGCAGCAGAGCGCGGAGAAAGAGAAACGCCGCAACGAGGTCACCTCGAGCGCGAAGAGCGACGTCGACGTGGACCTCACGCTAAGCGACGCTGACCACGCTGGCGCTGACGGCGACAGGGCGGACGCATCCACCGAGGCCACGTACGGCACCGCGTACTCGGAGTACAGCGACAAGAGCGCCGCGGCGCACGGGCATGGGCATGGGCATGCGCACGGCACAGGCGCTCCGCAGAATCAGAACCCGCGTCCCCACCCATACGCCTACGCCTCGTCCAGCGACGGCGACTCCTTCGACACCGCGTCTTCCTATTCCACGCACGAGCACGACGGGGACTACGATACCCACACCCACACCCACACCCGCCCCTCCGCGCTCCTCGCCCAGGCTTTGCTCCGCCTCTCCCGCTCGCCGACCTTCGTCACGTTCGAGAGCCGGGGGTATTCGGAGCCAGACTCGCGGCGCACGCCGCCGACGCCCCCGCCGCATTATTCGAGGCCGCTGCCGAGGATCCCCGTGCCTGTCCCCCCGCTCCCGCGCCCGCCGTCGTTCAGCTCGTCGTAGATACCAATATGCTGGGCTCACAAGTACTTACCTGCTACTTATTCGCGAGAGGGCACGTACACTTTTCGATGGTCGCTGCAGTGGTGAACTATTGTAAATGTTATTGATTGTATGTAGCCTTTCCATGCGCAGGTCTTCGTTCCTACGTATCGACTGGAGTACTCGTGTAGGCAGTTCCTCTTCGTAAAATCGAGTCAACTCGCGGCCGCGCTCGCCGCTCCTACTCATCGCGAAAGCTACTGAGCGTCGAGATTCCCAGCGCCACGAGGAGCTGCCCTACAGTCTCCATCGTCGAAGGAAGTCGCACGAGTGAGATGACCCTCCATCCTGCACCACACGTCGAGATCCTCCGTTAGTCCCACGTCCTACAGCTTCACATCCCTTCTCCCACTCTCATATCTCTCTGCACGTCAAGACCCATACGAGACGCGTACATTTTCGTCCAGAAGAGGCCGACTGGAACTTGGAAGCGTGAATGAGCGGGAAATCAAGGTACGGAGAACAGAAGGCGCACCGCTACCCAAGCATCGTAACGCCGGTGTACCCTGCCTAGTCCTGCGCGCTCACAAGTTGGGCCCACACGAGCAGGACATGTAATGTGGGCGAAGGTATTGCTGCTCCCACCACCACTGCCCAGCGTCCCGCCCCCTGCTGTGCTCGCGCTCGCGCTCCCCCACCCGCCCTGGTGCCCGTCGCCAAGCTACCCCCTGCGTCCATGGGTGTCGTTCGCCAAGAGGGGCGCGCGATGTGATAGCGAGGGGGGAGGAAGGAATAGGGTGGATGGTGTGGATGCTGAGGTGAAGAAGCAGGGCTGGGACGGGGGTCGGGAGGCAGAGAACGTTGCGGAAAGAAAGAAGGGAAGAGCGGGCGGGTGCATATTCGTCCACAAGCGGCCTGCTGGAGGGGTGAGCGGGAAAGAAGGTATCGGAGAACAAGAGACGCACCTCAAGATATCGTTACGCCTCCAGATCAATGTACTGCATCCCGCCTGGCCCCGCCCTGCTCCTCGATGCGCCGTTGGCGAAGATGTCGGTCGGCCCTTGTGAGCACGCCTGTAGCACCGGTGGCCAACACGCTCGTAGAGGGGCAGCCGTCTGAAGATCGAGAGACACTTGTGCGCCGAGTTTCCGAAGTAAGATTTCTCTAGGTCGGTGGCGCGTGTACCCAGAATCTTCACAAATGCACGCTTGGCAGGCTTGATTTCGAATCCACCATAATGGAAGTGTTCACCTAGAGGGGCGTGTGTACCACTGCACGAGCAGTCCTGGTTCGCAGCAGACCGAAGAGAAATGTAATTCGGAAGCGATTGTCGGGTCAGATCTTGAGCACGAAATCTCTTGGATTTGGGGGCGGTGTGGCGGGGTGGAGCCGTTGTCCTTGATTGCCTTGCCGGTGCTACAGCGAAGACAGATGCGGAAATTCTTCTGCGCTTGACTGCGACTGGCCCGACTCGGATGCAATCATGCAAGCTCGATTTGAGCAGCTTGGCTCGAAACATCTGGTTAGGGCCTTGATTTGAGGCGCATTTGAGGGTCCATCCAAGGCCGTTAAGAGTCTGCCGAGGGATTTCTGTCGCCGTGAAGGAGGACGAAGGAAGAAAGGACGGATATGGAAATTGTTTGGTTCGGAACGGGTCGGCGGGGGAACCAAACATTGAGCTTCCTCTCAGAACTTCCTCTGTTGGCACCTGCACCGACTGGAATTTCGCGCGCAAGGTTGTGGTCGTACAGAGATGGTGGACTACGCCCCCCAAGTCACAAGCGGTATTTTTAAAGCGCAAAGTTCATCACCCTTGAAAGTCTCTCCAAGTTTCCCAGCGTTCAAAGTCTTTTGCAAGCGAAGTTGAAGCACAGCAAATTTCAATGACGCAATCTGCACGCACCCAAGCTCACAGTCCGTATCTACACCGTCGGAACGGACACCCTTTTCGCGCCACTGTCATGTACCATTGGTATGAACAGTTGGACCGCGGCTCGCTCATTGACACTGTGGTGCTTTATCCCCATGGTCTGGCATGAAAGCTGTGACCGCCTCTTCGATCGGCTCAGGCGCTCCTGTGTGGACGTCGCTCTCCTGAACCTCTCACGAAAACGCAAATGTCGATTTCTGCGGATACAGTCCACACTCAAATACGAAACGAATACAACTCTGACGCTTCGTCTCGACTACCTCTTGAGGTCTGGCCTCCACCTCAGTACGTCTCTGTGGTCTTCACACCATCCACGAAGGCCAACCACGACGGACGCGAGATGAGCTCCTGGTACCATCTATAATCGATAAATTCTCCGTGAACGTAAAGAATGAACATGAACATGGACACACCTAGCGACGTTAGGCCGGCGCGTCATAATGTCGCTTCCTCCCAATGTGACCAGCCACGCGTACGGGAGATGGAAAAGGTCGGCGAGGGTGAGAGTCTGCCATTTATTTCATCAGTTATACCTGAGAGATAGAAGAAGAAACGACGGACGTCTCCAGCCATGTAGCGGTGCTTCGAGAGGATCACCTCATACGCATCCAACTTCTTCCCTAAAGCCGCCAACTCCGTGTCTATCTCCAAATATTTCCTGCTCGCACATCCATCCCATCGGTGCTACTCTGGTCAACTGGAAGGAATGCACACACTGTTTGAAATATTCGACCCCGACCTCGCTCACGCCGGGATCAAAATTCGCGGCCTCCGCCGCCGCCGCCTGCTCGAACAGCGCATTCGCCTTGGGCTCGGCGGGGATGAGCCCGGACTCGGGGTGCTTGGCCGCGATGTAGCGACAGATTGCGCGCGTCTCATACAAAATGAACCCGTCGTCGTCCCGTTATTTTATTCGCCCTCTCAGCACCCATCGAGAGGTTAACGAAATGTACTCACGATGTATGGAATCTGGCCGAACGGCTGCTTCTCGAGGTACTCCGGGGTCTTCTGCTCGCCCTTGAAAAGGCCGACTTCGACGAGCTCAAAAGGGACTTTGAGCTCGTGGAGGACCGTTCCGACGCGGCGTGTGCAGGTCGCGAGTTTACTTCCGTGGAGTTTGAGGATTGCCATGGAATGGATGTTAGGTGTACCAGTAGGTTAGTATGCGACTTCTTTTAAACCAGCGCTGACATATCTTGTCTGACATCCATTGAACCCTCATTACTCCTCGCAAACAGCGCCAATCGAAATATAACCACCTCGCTGACTCACCTCCCAATCTCTGGCTCCCAGTGGTTGAAATTGCCTTACTGGGAAGTTCGGCGGGTTGCTTGATAAGCGACCGTCGGGTGTTCCGGTGCGTTTTAATTTAAAAATGCCGCTGAAGTTGAAGCCTGACGAAAAATGCTGCTCAAATCCCTGGTCCGGGACACCACTGTATTCCGTGACAGACTCACTGCAGTCATTGTCCTAGATCACTTCATGCGTTCAACCGCCTTGCCTCTTCCTTGCCCGCCTTTTTTTCAATCGAATGCAAGAAGTCTTGCGGCCTTGGGTCAACTAGCGTAAAATATCAGCGACTTCGAGTACGCTCAATGGAGCTTGGCACATTTCTTACCGCAAGTATCACACAACCCTGCAAGAGCAGGTGCGGACCATCCGCTACGAGTCGGTGCGTGTTCTGAAACAGGCCTCATCATTTCCGGTGCAATTTTATGCAAACCCAATTTCTATGTTCAGGTTGTGCCTCACAAATACATCGAGGCGGGTACTGTGACGATACAGTGGGATAAACTAGCGGAACCATTACACTTCCACCTCGTCCTTGAACATTTCCGATGCAGAATCGGATTTGTGCTCTGATTCTCCTGATCCATCCTCCACTGGTTCTTCCGATTTAGTCTCTGAGTCTGCCTCTGATTTTTCAGCAGTCTCAGAGCCTCTGTCCCATCCCGAGCCAGATGCATGGCGAAGACCACCACGAGTCCTTGCAAGAATACAAAATTGATTGAGGGCCTAGGCGCTGTCAAAAAGACGCCAGCGGCAGATTAGCTTGGATTAGCTCGAACTAGGTCAGTAAGGGTTGTCATCTCTGAATCATGGCCGAATGGTGCAAGTGGTAGCATTCGCGGTTTTGTTGAAAACAGCTTCATCATCTACTCGCCGCGGGACTCCCGTTTCGGGGTTCGGCCTTCCCACAATCTGTCTATGACTTTTTCGCCCAGTTTTCATTGTGAGGTCCTTGTTTGATTCGGGATCTGGTTATTTTATCCTTTTGTTTAACTTGTATTTCTTTGGATTCAGAGTAGTGAGTCAATGGCCAGGTGGCGCAGTGGCAGCGCATGCAAGATTAGTGACATCTCCCCAATTTTTCTTCGCGAGGTCTTCGTTCGATTCGGAGTCTGGCCGTGTTCATTGGATCGAATGTATTTTTAATTGGCTGTGTTGTAACCCTTTTTGGAATCGGAGTCGTGGCCGTGAAAGGTTCTTTTCTGTCCCGTTTGGCTGCGTTCAGAGCGCATCACAAAGTGACAGCTCACACTGCAGGGAGGCATGGATCCAACCATCATCAGTTCAATAGAATGAAGTATCATGCTGTGCTCTATTGGATTCATCCTCCTCAAGAGACATGGATAGCCCACTTGAACACTTCAACTGCCTCCGATCAAACCCACTGCCGTTGTAACAACCCCACCCAATCAGGCCGAGGACAAGCCGTCGAAGCCGAGTGTGTTTTTATGCAACAAAGGAAAACTTCTTTAAGGTGCCCACAAAATTACTCTGAGAAGAAAAAAAGCAGAAAGTAGACTTGATATTTTGAGTGGGTAGGGAAAAAAATTACTGGTTGAAAATTCCACACTCTCAAGTCCCAAAATCAGTGTGAAAACACAAAGTTTACCCTGATTTCATTAAAGGGGCACTCTGACCGCCATATCCAGGAGGGGTTAGCCAACTGCACATACCACAACATCCACTGCACATGCCTCTTCTGTGGTTCAGGAGGTTACAACCGACTGCCGCAGTATCTGATCAATATTGCGGTCACGATGCACATTTATTATTCTGACCTTTTTTTTCTCTTCGTTTTTTCACCTTTTTCCATGTTGCCATAGTTTTTTTTCCCACAAGATGATGAATATGGCGGTCAGAGTGCCCCTTTAATAAAATCGGGGTAAAGTATCTGATTTTGGCCACAATTCGACGTACCAAGAGATGAAATTTGACTGGAGGAAGACAAACTCCTTGCATGCTTGACCTCTGTCTTTTTTTTGCACACCCAGAACATTGTTTTTGGTTCACTGAACAAAGACTTTTGGTGGGTGAAAAAAATCTGAACCTAAGAAAAAAAAAAGTGTTGAGTAGAAAAAAAAACTCAACCACGGTCTTCTTTCCTGCTGACCAGAAAAGGTTTGGACTGCAACACAAACTTTCGGAGGTAAGTGGCGGTGCTAACCCTAATTTGATCCATTGATCCGGTGTCTGTATCTGGCTTGATGCAAGTTGTTCTTTGCTAAGGTAAGTCAAGTAACATGCCATCTATCCCACAGGACATCATAGGTGACACCCTCCAGTTTCTGGTAGACAAATCCAGGTCCCGGATGCCATCTATGTGAAAATCCCGCACAATCATACATCTTCCGAACCATCTCCCTTAGCTATGGTCTACAGGAGGGGTTTGCTACACTTTGCACCGCCATCTGGGACCCGGATTTGTCTACCAGAAACTGGAGGGTGTCACCTATGATATCCTGTGGGATAGATGGCATGTTACTTACCTTAGCAAAGAACAACTTGCATCAAGTCAGATACAGACACCAGATCAATCGATCAAATTAGGGTTAGCACCGCCACTTACCTCCGAAAGTTTGTGTTGCAGTCCAAAAACTTTTCTGGTCGGCAGGAAACACCGGAGTTTGAGCCAAAAGATTGGTCGCCGATATTCCGCCGATATACCCTGTTTAGGCGGGATATTGGCGGGATATCGGCGAAAAAAGCTCAGCTCAATATTCCGCCACTATACCGCATTTCGGGGGAATATTGACGGAATATTGGCGCGAATATTGGCGCAATATTGGCGTGAGGTTTTTCGCTCCTATTCTCAGCCACATTCCAGTCCATTGCATTCGAGAATTCATCATTTTATATAACCTGTGCTACAACAAGGGTGCACAAAATAGTATGATAACAATAGCTGGCGTCCCGTGTCCGAAGCGAAGCCGAAGGAGTCGACGCGCACTGATGCACACCGTACACGAGCTCGACGTACTGCGAACCGTGCGCACTCAGCCGTGAATATTCGGTGATGACGGCGCGCGCGAATTCGAAAGAAGACAGCAAACAAAAGAGAAAGGGGAGGAGATTTGGAGGAAGGGATGGGGACGAGGACGGGGGGCGACAGGGCGAGCAGAGAATCACAGGGAGTAGCTGCACACCTTACCGGGGAGTTACTCCAGGCGCAAGGTACGATAAGTAAAGGAGATAAACATGCAAAAAAAATACACACGCACCATGCTGAGCGCAAATCCAAAGCCCGGAGCCCGGAGCCTGCTGGCCATTGCTTCCTGTCGGCGGCGGTACATATTGGCGACGTCGCGTAGAGTGATGAGGGAGGTGCAGCGTGCTATGTGGGACTGAGTAAGGACAAGGTAACAATACATGGGTCTTATATCGACGTACTTAACGAGCAAGCGGACATCAAAAAGGTTTCCCGGCTTCTCAGGACCTAAACTACGATAATTCAGTAGTAATCATGGGAGCGGAGGTCTGAACGACGCACCGGCCAAGGCAGCGCACGAAGATGTGGTACTCGTGGAATTGCATAGGATACTACATCTGAAAATGGAGGCCGAGGGTACGTGAGACATGCATCGGAAGACGGGGAGGGCAGCTCACATCGTCAGAGTATTTAGCCACATTTCTTCAGGAATCCAACGGGGCTTTGATATCGATGTTAATTATGCCCTAATCACACACAACGCACGATGAAATCCTGTGTCGTGAGATCACCACAGATGGACTGTCCTACTCCAAGACCAATGTCGGTTAAAGAGAGCAGGGAATATTAATGAAGAACCACGCGCCTTATGTTCTGGGCGATATTTCGCATATGCCGTGATCTGCGGCCGGCGTGCGACGCGCTGCCACATCTCTCTCGAATCTGGACTTGAAACGGTAAGATACGCTGTGAAGGTCCATCAGTTAACTCGGATAAGATTTAAGAGTGTGAAATAGATACCGAGCCGTCGGCGGGGTTCCACGTCCAGGGCTGCGCTGCGTAGTCTGATTGGCCTTGTAGGTGCAAATAGTTGCAATTTGGGTTGAATTTGGGAGATGGGACACGTCAGAGCCACCGCGGGAAGACGACTTTGGTCACAGGTGGGAATGATCTGTTGCGGGCGCATTTTGGATGGGACCAGCTAGAAACTTCGGCTAGTGGAGGGGAACAAGTGGGAGGAGAAGATTCCAGAGTTTTGAGAGGATTGAAGCAGTGGTTGAGCCGCAATCGGGGTCGCATCATCGCGCCATGGAGGAAGGAAGCAAGGAGGGTGATGTTATGTAAGCGCCCACAGCGCCAGAAATTTGCCAAGTTCAAAACGCGCGCCAATATTCCGCCAATACGCGGTGTATTGTCGAAATAATGGCAGCCCAATATTTCCGCCAAAATTCCGCCAAAATTTCGCCTATACACCCAGTATTGGCGAAATTCTGGCAATGAAAAATTTGCCTCAAATTCCGGTGAAAAGAAGACCGTGGTTGAGTTTTTTTTTCTACTCAAAACTTTTTTTTTTCTTAGGTTCAGATTTTTTTTACCAACCAAAAGTTTTTGTTCAGTGAATCAAAAGCAAAGTTTTGGGTGTGCAAAAAAGTGATAGAGGTTATGCACACAAGAAGTTTGTTTTCCTCCAGCTGATTTTCATCTTTTGATACGTCAAAATGTGGCCAAAATCGCAAAGTGTACCCCTGTTTTATTAAAGGGGCACTCTGACCGCCATACATAAAATCTTTCAAAATATTATTATGTTTTATGGAACATGGTTAGGAGGAATGAGTGGCACCCTGGATTAGGGTTCATCACTGATTGATGGACAGGATCAATCAATCCCGTACCTCTGCCTCTGAGGTAAAGTCTAGTGCTAACCTGGGCAGGCTGTTATGTAGTGGGGCTCGCATCAAGCCCTCCCAGGCACACCTGACCGGTTTTGGAACCAACATGTGAGACATTTATGAACTTGGCACAATGTGCCGATTAAGGCCATCAAGTATGGCGGTCAGAGTGCCCCTTTAATAAAACAGGGGTACACTTTGTGATTTTGGCCACATTTTGACGTACCAAAAGATGAAAATCAGCTGGAGGAAAACAAACTTCTTGTGTGCATAACCTCTATCTCTTTTTTGCACACCCAAAACTTTGTTTTTGGTTCACTGAACAAACTTTTGGTTCATAAAAAAAAAGTTTGAACCTAAGAAAAAAAAGTGTGGGTAGAAAAAAAAACTCAAACATGGTCTTCTTTTCCTGCCAACCAGAAAAGCTTTTTGACTGCAACACAAACTGTCGGAGGTAAGTGGCGGCGCTAACCCTAAATTTGATCGCTTGATCCGGTGTCCGTATCCGGCTTCAATGCCAGAGCTTCAAGTTGTTCTTCCATGCCATCTATCCCACAGGATGTTGTAGTATTGACCTCACATCCAGTCACGTCCCGATGGGGGTTACAACACGGTGTTTGGTTCGCAGCGGTCATGTATTTACTGGAGGCCTGTGGCTGATCTCTTCAGTCTGAAGACAATGGTTGCAGGTGAGTAATCTGTATTTATCCCTAATACTACAAGTCTGAAGAGAACACTAACTGCAGTTTCTTGGATGCCTTGTTCTTGACATGTCCTACCTTTGAGAGGCCGGACACAAAGTATCACAGGCCCTATGGCACATTGCACACTCTGTCAGCCAGAACCTGGCAATTGTGGTTGATTCCAGTGAGGCCAATTCATAGGCTCTTCCCTGCCTGATGGCTAACCAGTGCACACATCCGGGACCCGGGTTTGTCTCCCAGCAACTGCAGCTGGCGGGTGGTGCCTATGATGTCCTGTGGGATAGATGGCATGGAAGAACAACTTGATGCTCTGGCATTGAAGCCGAATACGGACACCGGATCAAGCGATCAAATTAGGGTTAGCACTGCCACTTACCTCTGAAAGTTTGTGTTGCAGTCAAAAAACTTTTCTGGTCAGCAGGAAAAGCAGATTGTGTTTGAGTTTTTTTTTCCTACCCACACTTTTTTTTTCTTGGGTTCAAGCCTTTTTTATATCAACCAAAAGTTTTTGTTTAGTGAATCCAAAACAAAGTTCTGGGTGTGCAAAAAAAGAGATAGAGGCTCTACAACCAGAAGTTTGTTTTCCTCCCGCTGGTTTTC